ATTCGAGCCTTTGAGATTCTTGCACTGACTTCATCAGACACACTTCCGTCAGAGCTAATACAACTACCGAGGTACGTAAAGTTTTCCACAATCTCCAGTGGTTCTCGATGCACACGTTTGTTGGGATTTGAGGATGAATCACTTTGCCACCACATGTGTCAAATATTATAAAACTCTAGTCGTACCCTACAGATTTGTGAACTGACCTCATCCGCCACTCCACGATCGGATCTCAGAAAATGCGCCAAAGGCTCCATAACTTTCAGTACCCCTCCCTGAATTGTTAGTGGCATGTTCAGTGATTGCATGTCCAGTAGCATGACCTCACACCTTGTGGGTGCATAGTGTTTGTGAACAGACGGAATGACTGTGGTCAGTTCACTAAGGTTTTGAAAACCTAGCTGTCATTACCTCGTCGATCACCAACTGCTGTAGCTTACAAAGCGCACAATAGCCGTTCGGGCAAGCAGTATGGCTTCCGACTACGAACGAATCGTATGTGGCGTGCCGCAGACTTCAGTTCTAGGACACACCCTACCAAGAAGCCTTCTTTTCTTTACATTCTCGCTGATGACCTTACATTCTTGAGAGAAATGCGGGTGAATAATAACTACTTCAGTCTGCACGGGGGTATGCAGATCGCCTAGTTTTTCCGTGGGAAATCACTTATCATTCAGTAGAGACAAATGCCTCACATTGCCTCCGCTGCTTTACCAATCGAAAATACACATCCGCACAACATCCACATCGCGTCAGTCGAGACGGATCTATGAATCCAAGACTTCTGTAACTCCACGGAGAGAGATATGAACACTTCATCGGACTCTTCGGGTACACCTTCGGGTACTTCGAATCACACCTGATGAATTCTTCACTTGCGGCTCACATCTTACGGCATATGGAGTACGTTGTGCAAACATGGTGTCTCTGATTCAAGAGCTGGCGCAGAGAAGAGCAAGTAAACTGGTGCACGGTCTTAGTAACACACTACACAGAACGACCAGTGGCACTGATTTTTTGCTCCACGAAATGCCGAAGGCTACTGGGCAACCTTACTTCAAATTATGTAATCCTGAAGAACACAAGCCATCTTTACTACTCGGCATCTACACTTACAAGCACCCCCAACTTTCGAAGTCACCCCAGACAGCTGACCCACGAACAGTCACATAATCTCGTCACAACCTCTTCCTTCATTACCGACTGGGAAACTCTTTACCCACTGACACTGTTGTCTACTGAAGTTCTACTGCTGCCGGCTGTCATTATGGATGAGCGGAGGTTCAACGCTTGAAGATGTCGATAGCTGTGGTGGTGATTACTTCCGCGTCCATAGATTATGGCTCATCATTTGATGTCGTGTTTGTAAAGGCGGTCGTCAATTTGAATATGGTTTACCACGTATACCAACCAGCAAGACTTCATCGTAATAAAACACATGTCATCCTAGCTTTGGCATTGACAAGAGGTTCGGATAATGTGGAAACATCACATCTTGGTCACAGTGATTGCACCACAATTTTTTCAGTGGTTGAGAACCCCAGCCGACTTTGTCAGATGTCCATAAGGAGAACTATATGGCAAAATGGTATCTGTGGCAGAAACACATTCGCTTGGACCTCTCGGTAGTTTTTGATACGGAATGTGGTTCCCTTTTGAAGGACGAATGAAGTACCTTTCAGAGAAATGTTTCCTTATGAAGTCGGACGACTGTAATCAGATGGGGTGGGGTGAGTGGAAGGCAATACGAGACGACAACTTTTTCAGCAATGCGGTAAAATCGCTCTTTCAGCTGTAGCGTCCTTTCCGTGCCTAGCTGCCACGTCAATGGATGGAGGCACGACAGCTGAGATACTGTCAGGTTCCCCAAACCTAGATAGGATGCAGCAAACAATTAAGCAAGGCCATAAGCAGTTATACGGATCATCATCGTCATCAGAGACAGTATCATCAGCTTTGATGCTCCAGTGCTGTGCAGCCACAAAGTTTAAATAGTTATATTTAAGGCCTCAAAGGAGAAAGAAGAGAGGAGAGTGAGGGTGAAAAAATCGTCCAGCTGTAACGTTCTTTTGGTGCCTGGCTTCCATGCCATTCGAAGGAAGCACGAGAACTGGGTACTGCCAGGTTACCGAAGTCTAGACAGGGGAAGTCGAGAGGCAGAGGTCGGGTTCGAACCCTGAATCTTCCAGTCAGTAAATGCGTGCTCTAACCACTGAGTGAGGGGAGCTGGTGCTGGTTCACATAGGCATTCTGAAGTTCCTACATCTTCAAACACTCAATCAGATAATCTGAAGAGAAAGTGACAGCAAGAACGCCACTGACATCGATCAACCACCATTTCTTGTAGTGTCTTCAGCTAAGTGCAGGAGGGGTCACAACGACCCTATCCTTGATAGACAGATGACAAATCTGATGCTACATAGGGGGCAGCGGTTTTTGGCTGTGCTCTTTTTGGATCTGACGCAATGGTAATGCAAACACTATTAAATAATGTAAATGATTCTGCCTCGAGGTTTGGTATGCATCTCACACCTGCAAAGTGTGAAGTGCTACTGTAAGACTGGGTGGGCTTGAACCGTAGTCTCATGCTTGCGGATGAGCTGATTGAGTTAGTAGACAGGTTTGTCTACCCGGGCAGCTGTATCAGTCTCAGTGTTCTCGCGGAAGATGATATCCCCATCCGGATTGGGAGACAGAACAGTTTTTGTGAACCTGCGTCACCTGTGGCATAGGTGTGGTATCAGCCTATGGATCAACAGTCAAGTTTACGCTGTTTCGGTGCGCTCCATATTACTGTACGTATCAGAAACCTGGCAGCTGCGCGCCGAAGGCGTCAAAAGGCTCTCAGTGTTTTACCATCGATCTCTTCGGAGCATTGCCCGGGTCTGGTAGCATCATCGATTCAGCGATGCTGGTGGTTTTCGGACTAGGTAACTTTCCCACGACAGATGGGCGGTCCATAGGTTGCTCTGGCTTGACCTTGTGCTGCGTATGCTAGTCAACTGACTTCCTCGAAGGGTTGTTTCGGCAGGAACACGTGAAGGGTAGGAACGAACCAGGGGAAGTAAAACAATGACCTGGTCATGAAGTATTAAAGCCATTACTAGCGTTGATCGTTGCCGTCTCTCTGGCTGGGGGGCGCGAAACGGACACATCAATGATTCGAGACATTGTCAGACATGGCTCAATTGCTCAATTGATGAACAAGCCCCCAATGGAGCTTGGTCATCTAGGTTATTGTGTTCAATGTAAGGCTCCCCTTCCAACCTTTCCAATGAAAAACATTGTATTCAAGCATCCGTTATGCCAGCTGCTACCTCCAGTTTGCAGCCATCCACCAGCTATCCAGCTCATCGGTGAACGAGACTGTGGCAACCATAACCACTGTACGACAAGTACGCAGTTCTTGCAGCTGGTGCTAATGATTATGATGTGTAGGGGTCGCATGTGACTACACAGCTTTTCAGCAAATGACACGTGAGCAGTGGTGAGATGGTCCGCCGGAAATCTTAAAGCGGCGCTGTGTACTGGTGGTGATGGTGTAGAATTTATGTTGAATTTAATGGTACATCTGTTTGTTCAGCTATAACACCCTTTCGGTCCCTAGCTCCTGAAGGATGCACGAGGGGTGGTGTACTGCTAGGATGCCCAGGCCTAGACAGGGGCAATCGAGATTCAGAGTTTGGGTTCGAACCGCGAGCCTTTCGATCAGTAAGTCTGCGCCCATACCACTTGGCTGTCTTGGGCTCTGTTAGACGGACCATAGACTGCTTTATTTCAGCTGGAGTCTTCTTGGGCGTACAGAGCACCTTGTCATGGATAGTTGAAAACCTCATCCTCCTTGCTGCGGGCAGATGTGCACCGAAGGTTCGTTACAAGTGGTCACCCATTATTGTTATTATTGCGTTATTATTATTATTATTATTATTATTATTATTATTATTATTATTATTATTATTATTATTATTATTATTATTATTATTATTATTATTATTATTATTATTATTATTATTATTATTATTATTATTATTATTATTATTATTATTATTATTATTATTATTATTATTATTATTATTATTATTATTATTATTATTATTATTATTATTATTATTATTATTATTATTATTATTATTATTATTATTATTATTATTATTATTATTATTATTATTATTATTATTATTATTATTATTATTATTATTATTATTATTATTATTATTATTATTATTATTATTATTATTATTATTATTATTATTATTATTATTATTATTATTATTATTATTATTATTATTATTATTATTATTATTATTATTATTATTATTATTATTATTATTATTATTATTATTATTATTATTATTATTATTATTATTATTATTATTATTATTATTATTATTATTATTATTATTATTATTATTATTATTATTATTATTATTATTATTATTATTATTATTATTATTATTATTATTATTATTATTATTATTATTATTATTATTATTATTATTATTATTATTATTATTATTATTATTATTATTATTATTATTATTATTATTATTATTATTATTATTATTATTATTATTATTATTATTATTATTGTTTACCTAGTTTGATGCCCGTAGGTTAAAGCGTCATATACCGCCTTAAGCGGGGATCAGTGACAGCAGGACACTTTTCACAATGGGAATCAGACTGATTCCTCTATGGTTAGCGTATTCGTCACCAGCGCCCTTTGCAACAATGGGCACTATTGCTCATTCGCTTCAGGTTTTTGGGTAGGTTCTACACCATGTGAACAAAAATGAGTTGGATGGTAACCGACTGGAATTCACTGCCATCGTTGAACAGATCATGTGGAAGGTCCGAATGAGGAAGATGGCGGCGACGCTTGATGAATACTTATGACCCTAACTGTCCGGAGGTATCAGTGGTAGAAATGACTTCCAACAAGGCCAGTATATCAATGCACACACCAGATGTTCATCATCATCATCATCACTGTCAGCTGTAATAACCGCGTACTCGTCGTACAGTGGTTGCAGCTGCCGCAGTTTCGTTCACCGATGATTTGGGGGGGGGTTGGTAAGTAGCTGCGCACTGCACGCGCGAGCTGGTAAATTGGTGCATAAATCCAGCATTGTCAGTGGCCTGTCAAGTGGGGTGGGGTTGGAAAAGGAGCTATACATTGAAGGCAATAGCTTTGATACACGAGCGCCATTGAGGGCGCGACTGCGCCATGTCTGATAATGTCTCTAACCATTGATGTGGCCCGTCTCGGGGTCCCCATCCAGAAAGACGGCAGTGACCAGCGCAGCTGAGTCTGCTGGTAATGGCTTTCATACTTCGCTGCCAAGTCATTGTTTGACCGCCTCTGGCTCTCTTCCACCCTTCACATG